TGTGTGTGTGTGTTTGTGTGTATGTGTGTGTGTGTATGTGTTTGTGTTTGTGTGTGTGTATACACATGATATTGCATGCATATGGAGGTCAAAGGTCAACTCTGTACAGTCAGTTCTTTCCATCCATTTTACATGATTGAACTTAGGCAGCCAGGCTTGCCCAGAAAACACACTACACACTGAGCCACCTCTTCAGTCAACACACTTACTTTCTTGAAGTGACTTGGGGCAGAGGCATTCCAGAAAGTACAGTAAGTACAGTTTACCTGCTATGGGAGCTTAAGAAGGCTTAACTGAAAAATAAAAGTACTTGATGGGAAACAAAACAAAACTGAACGTTTCTAATGTGCAGTACTGTATTTGAAGGGGAATGACAGTAACATCCATGGTTGTCATGTTCTGAAGATCACAAGTCCTCATAAGAGCAAACGCAGCTACAGAAAACCCCACAGAACTGCCCTTGGTAAGGTCCAGGTTTATGGGAAGTGATCAAGGTTTTATTGTATTAAATACACAACCAATAGACTGACACTGCCATTCTTATCTTGGAGTGCAAAATGCTTTTCTCTGGACTGTGATATGAGAAGTGCTTCGTGATGCTGAAGTGGGCAAAGGGCCATCTGTTCCTGCCCCTCTAGAACACTATGGCTGTTGTCATATCTTGCCAGCCCTGACATTTCAATTTATGTGACTCCAAATCCCATGTTCTTTCATTAAGCTATTTTTCATGTCTTCTCACAGTTGCCATATATAATTTCATGTATTTAACTCCCTCCCTGCTAGTTCATCCACTGTAATGTGGCCTCATTTCTCCACACATCTACAGATCTGCTCTAGCTCCAATGACAGTTCTGGTTCTAGTCCTTGGGAACACCTTTAATCCTTTATCTGGTTATCTGAGTATCAATAGTTGGTATGATAAGCATTTGCCAGTCATTGTATGCATGCTGGAATATGCTGTTAAGCAAATCAAGACACGGTTTCTGTCATCCAGAGTTTAGAGCAGTGGTCCTCAATTTGTGGGTCATGACCCCTTTGGAGGTCGAATGACCCTTTCATAGAGATTGCTTAAGACTACTAGAAATACCAAATATTTATATTATGATTCATAACAGAAGCAAAATTACAGTTATGAAGTAGCAATGAAAATAATTTTATGGTTGGGGGTCACTACCACATGAGGAACTATATTAAAGGGTCATAGCATTAGGAAGGTTGAGAAACACTGGTTTAGAGTCAGATGTCAGCAACCAATCAGAACATAGTAGCTAATCAGAAGTAGGGCAGCTTACCCAAACAGGCATGATAAATGGGTTTCCCTCCCCTTCTCTGCCTTGGAGCTAGAACCCAGGTACTTATACATACCAGAGACACTCTTCCACCGAATTAACTTTAGACAAAGAAGTCTCTTTTAGCCCTCTAAGAAGAGTAGCTTTGGGGCTGGAGAGATGGCTCAGAGGTTAAGAGCACTGACTACTCCAGAGGTCCTGAGTTCAATTCCCAGCAACCACATGGTGGCTCACAACCATCTGTAATGAGATCTGGTGCCCTCTTCTGGCCTGCAGACATACATGCAGGCAGAACATTGTGTACATAATAAACAAATCTTTAAAAAAAAAAAAAAGAAGAGTAGCTTTTGGCCAAGTGTGGTGGCTCATGCTCATAATCTCAGAACTTGGAAGCCCAAGGCAGGAGGATTGCTATGAATTCTAGTCCACCCTAGGCTACAATGTGAGTTTGAGTCCAGTCTAGGATATAGAGCTTTCTTTTCAGATAGAGTCCCTTGTCATTCAGACTGGCCTCAAGCTCACTACTGTAGCTAAGGCTGGCCTTCTACTACTGACCTTGCCTCTACCTGCCAAGGGCTGTGATTACAGGTATGCACCACCATACCAGACAAGAAAGTAACTTCTGATGGATTCATCTGCTTTTCTTTCCATTTCTGATTTGTCAGTTCTGCATACAAAGTCTGTTTAGCTCAGCTGAGGGATGACTCTATCTTACGGTTGAGATGTGGCCTAGAATCCTTAATCTAAGTCAACACTATCTTTAAAGTAAACTTGTTGTAATTAAACTTCTGACAGAGGAAACCTGATTTTAGAAATAATTGTAGAAGTAAAACTGATGGTGTGGTGTGCATGCCTGTAATCCTAGCTTGCGGGAGGTACAATCAGGAGCATTAGGAGTTCAGGTCACCCTTGACTCTGACTCAAAAACTGAACTAGAACAAAAAGATAATTTATTAAACCGGCACACTTAGAAAACATTTTCTAAGCCGGGCGGTTGTGGCGAACACCTTTAATCCAAGCACTTGGGAGGCAGAGCCAGGTGGATCTTTGTGAGTTCAAGGCCAGCCTGGTCTACAGAGTGAGATCCAGGAAAGGCACAAAGCTACACAGAGAAACCCTGTGTTGAAAAACCAAAAAAAAAAAAAAAAAAGAAAAGAAAAGAAAAAGAAAACATTTTCTATTTTGTTAATCTTGTTTTACTAGTAGATGTGCACTGGCCAAATCCAAACTTTTTGGTATGATACACAAAGCTCTCTACAGTGTAGACCTGGCCTATTTTTTCCACATCATTTTCCATTCTCTTTCACGTCCTTTACTTCACCACATCAAACTTCTATCAAATGTTCCAATATTGGCCAAATATCCGAGGTAACAGATTTATAAGAAAAAAGGATTATTTTGATCATGAGCTCAGAAGTTTCTATCTAAGTTGCTTGGCCTGGCTGCTCTGGGCCTGTGGCAAGCAGAACTGCATGGCAGGGTGCTTAAGGGAAAGACAGCTCCTCACCAGGAAGCAGAGGGGTTGGTCTTTGGTTGTCAGGAAAGATAGGGAGGGAGGGAGGTAAGGAGGAAGGGAGGGAGGGAGGGAGGGAGGGAGGGAGGGAGGAGGGTAGGGAGAGGAGGGGAGTGGAGGGAGGAGAAGGAAGGAGTGGAAGAGGAGGGAGGAGGAGGAGGAGTGTGGAGGGAAGATGGAGGGAGGGGAAGGCGAGTGGAGGGAGGGAGGAGGGAAAGTGAAGGGTGGAGGGAGGGAAGATGGTGGAGGGAGGGAGGAGGGAAAGAGGGCAAGCTTGGGCAGTCCTACCTGCTTTCTGCAGTCCAAGGGCCCCTCCCTCTCTTGGTTTTGCTTGGGGAATGGAGAAATCTCCTTGAGGACTTGGATAAAATAAGATTAATGATGCTAATAATTGCCTGTCATGAATTAGGAAACTGCCTCTGGTGTGGTACCAAAACTATTCCCACAAATTCCTGACGGGGCTAAAATACTGCCCTGTAAGGTAAAGCTGGAAGAACTGTACCTGACTTCTGTGTCTCTTTTGCAAACCATTCAGGACTTCCTAGAACTCTGAGGTGATGGAAGTGATGGCTTATTCAATTCTGCAGTACTGAAGGGCTAGAAGATTTGGCCACTTTAGTCGATCGCAGTAATACAACATGGGTCTCCCTTCCCACAGATGGATGACCTTGGTACTTTAGCCATCTCTAGAACTATTATAAAAAAAGGAAAAAGGCACCACTATCCAAATTATGAGCTTACAAGAACAGGTAAGCTAACAGGGAAAGAAACCTTCTAATTCATTCCATCTTGAAAAAAGACAAAAGAAACTGCAGCTGAAGAGGTGTTCTCTCACAGGGGCCACAGCCTCTGCAAGAAACCATGAAGGAAAAGGCAGGCAATAACAGGACTGCTCTGGGAAATAAGGGGGGTTTTCACTACTAATATGGTAGGAAAAACAGAGAATTATTAGCCAACAGGAAACAAAGGCCCTGGCAGATACTTGGGTTACTCTATTTTACATCCCACCATGTATAAAATCTCCCTCAGAATAAAAATAAAATTCAAATGGTGGGAGATTCTAATTTACCCATACTGCCTTTAAAGCAAATCCTATTGTCTTAGTGTTTTATTGCTGTGAAGAGACACCATGGCCATTGCAACTCTTATAAAAAGCAAGCATTTAATTGGGGCTGGCTTACAGTTTCAGAGGTTTATTGCAGTATCCTCAGGACAGGGAGCATGGGGCACACATGGTGCAGGAGGAGTTGAGAGATCTACATCCAGATCCATCCACAGGCAGCAGGAAGAGACAGAGACACTGGGCCTGGCTTGAGCAACTGAACCCTCCTAGCCCACCCCCAGTGACACACTTCCTCCAACAAGGCCACACAGATCCTAATCTTTTCAAATAGTGCCACTCCCTATGAGCCTATGGGAGCATTTTCATTCAAATCACCACATGTGTAAAATGTATATTGGGAGAAACTTGGGCCATCACCTCTTTCTCTGGGTAAATTGTGTCCCTGTCCATTTGTTAGGACGTGACTCTTTGGAAACAAAATGCTCTATCCCCAAAAGGGGATAGTATCTTTAACTTAGAGACACTGAGAAGTCCCAGTCTCCAAATTTTCTCCATTCCACTGGTGAAGGGGTCAAACAAGATACCACAAGAGAAAACTGACAGCCTCCTTTCACAAGTTCCAGGAGAATTTGTGCAAAACAAACAAACAAACAAACAAACAAACAAAAACCAAAAACACAAAAAAAATCAAAAAACCCAAAAACAAACAAACAGGTATAGTATAAATAAGATCAGCTGCCCCAACTGAGATAACAATAGATAAAAGCAAACCCTTGCCTAATATAAAAACATAAAAACCCTTCAAGGCAAGAAGCCCTAACGGTAATCAAACCACCATGGAAGATTATCAAGAAAATGGGTTTCTAATCCTCTGTACCAGCCCTCACAGCACCCCAATATTACCATAAAGAAGCAAGATGGAAGAGGATAGATATTTATGCAAAATCTCTAGGCCATAAATAGGAGAGTCATCCTTGCAATCCAGTGGTACCTAATCCCCACACTTTGTTACCCCGAGCTCCTCTAACTGGAGCCTTTTTCAGTGGCAGGTTTTAAGTACCTTCTCTTTAGTATCCTTCTGCACCCAACAGCTACTTCTGTTTCCTCCACATAGGAGAAACGGCGGTCTACTTGGTTCTACTTACTGACAGTTTTTATTTGTGAGATCAACAGGGCATTTCCAGACAGGATATGCAGTTAAACTACCCACTCTTGACATAATTGACAGTCTCACTTGCCTGATGTTCCCTCTGCTCAGAGGGCTGAACCAGAGTTTTTACCAGAGCAGGTCATTTGGTGGAAAACAAAACAGCTCACATTCCGACAGATAGGTGCCATACATTTGGAGTGGTGCAGCATTGTGGCATGCTGCGGAGACAAAGAGGATTTGTGACTTCCGCTGGCCAGCCCGTGTGCAATAGTCAACAGATCGCAGAATCACTGGATGTTATCCACTTGCCCGAACAGTTGGCCACCATCAGAATCCCAGGACACTCTAAAACAAACACCGAAGAAGCGAAGAGTCACAGTACCACTGACAAAGCAGCAACAAGAGCGGCACTGCCTGGACCTGCAGGTGCTGAGAGGCTGTCTCGTTCATGATGCCACGCCATCTCTGACACCTCTTCAAAGGGACACCTGGCAACAGAAGGGTGGCGATCTCAGACCCCAGTATATTCTGGGTGGGTCCAAATAGGACATCTATAATACCCCTAAGTGCCCAATTGCCTCTTCTGGAAGACATACAGCATTTAAGTCACTGGAGATCAGAAAAAAATGATCTCTTGGGGTAAACAATATTTTTGGAAGCCTGCTGATGTTTTTCTGTTGGCTTAGCAGCTGCACATGAATCTACTGAAATTTTAATTATTGTCTGGCACCCCACGGCCCCTAGGTCAGTTCCTCGCTGGCCATTCAGGCTGTGGCCTGGGGCCTTCCAGTCGCTCGGCCCCCTGGCCACGATGTGTAGGTTTAAATTAAGTCTCTATCATTCTATTTGTCAGTAAGACTCAGAAGTCAAAGGCTGGGGTGAAAACCTGCTAGCTCAGAGAGGCCAAGTAGCAACCAGCTGACCTTGTTTTTTGGCCAGAGACACTGCAAGAGATAAGTCTTTTCCCTCATCCCAGAACCAAGAGTATACTCAAACTCCAGTCCCTGCCCTTTCCTTCCTGTGCAGTCCTTTCTATCCAAATTGCTGGCTTCTCTATGGCCAATTCTGTCAGCCAGTCACTGGCTCCGCCCCCTGATTCAAGGTATAACTTCATTGGGCAGTCTCAGGAGTGTCAGAGTGTGATCAAAACATCCCACAACAGCCCTCCCCAACAACAGCTCACAAGGTGTACTCAAGATGTTCTATTTGCCCCAAACACACACACACAAGTAATCTACTTCATGGGGCGCAGAGGCATTTATTTTCCTTTACTGAAGGGGCTATGTGAACCCTCACTTCCTCGGTGTTCCCTGAGCCTTGGAGAGAGGGTGTAGCTATGTCCCGTTCAGGACCGAGTACTCATCAGCCTCATTCTCAGCACTCTGACCAGTTACCAGTCTTTGTACTGACTGCTACCTACTGCAAAACCCAAAAGTCTCTGACCAAGGCCGAGAGTAACACTCTATGTATGGGTATACATGTAAGTCTTTAGAAAGAGGTCTGAAAACACATCTATTCAGCAAAACAGAAGTTTTCCCAGCCATGAGCTTTTGAACAGATTTACAGTACCAGGTAAAAATCCCCTCTTGAGGAAGCGGGCCTCAAAACCAAGCAGAAAGTGGTAGTTACCTCTGTAATAGTTACACCACTATCGTACCTGAGGGCACACCTTGCCTAGTAGGTTGGTACTGTAGTGTGCAGAATAATTCTCATTTAAAAATGTCCTTAGCTAATCATTTTTGTGTTCTAAAGGTCCCACTGAAAATTTCAGGACACGCACTATTGGAGAGCCACTAAAAACTTTTGAAATAGCCTAAGAAGTGAAGACACGCGCCAAGACAGCAGGAACGGAGAGAGTTGGGAACCAATTTAAGAGATATTTCTGAAACAAACAGGGAAGACGTTAATAATCATATAAATGAAGCTGGAAAGTTGGTTTACAGGTAATGAAAAACCCAGTTTTGTGGTAGCTTGAGAGCCTAAGTGGGAGGGGGTATCGGAGACAAAAATACAAGTGGAAAAGGGTTTCGGATACTGAACAGTACCTGGTAACATTTTGAGGCCATGGTCCCCGTGGTTAAACAAGAACCAAATCTGTAATCACGTGACGACGTGGTCTTTCTTTTTCAGCTGGCACAGTCACTTGGCAAACACAAACTGAAACCCAGCTCCACTCATAACAATGGAACTGTCTGCAGGAATAACTCGTTTGGACCCAGACTTCTCTCTTGAGCTACAGTTTCACTCTTCAGCAAAGGCCAGTGGTTTGTTGTCTGGCCTTTGGAAAGTTGTTACTCTAACTTAATATTCATATTCCTAGATGGGATCACATGGGATTGGGAAGGGGCCCCAAAATAGCTTGACCACACAGCTTCTGTGACGGGCTTACTGGCAGGCAACACCCAGATCCAGGAAAAGCCTTAAGCTGATACCACCCAGGGATCCCCCCAGGGATGAGGAAGTACCTGACATCCCAAACATTCCAACCATTAGATAAGGTGGCCAGATGCGCCCGAGTCTAGCACACACCTATTTTTTGTTTTACAGATACCCCTAGACAATTGTCAGTCAATCAGAGTCCTGGACCCTGGAAATCCCCTCACCCCAACCTCTGCTATGATAAAAACTCTGCCCCACCTGAGCTCAGGGCTCTCTGCTCTCACCGCTGTGTGGGACAGACAGAGGGACCAAGCTGTGGAGCTTGAAATAAAGGCTCTTTGCTTTTACATGTGGGATTCGGTCTCCGTGGTGGTCTTTTGGGGGTCCCCGCTATCTGGGCATAACAGGATACTGAGTATTCTGTAAATTAACTGTGATACTTCATGCGTGAGTTTACACGTGAAGGTCGATAACTATTGTGGAGTAAGAAGCTGACTTTGAACACTCGTACATTCAAAGAGTAAGCAGAAAGGATTTGGAAAGCACGTAAACACCAGCATGCAATAAACCCTGCGGGTTTCCAGGTGACCCTGGAGCCTGAGGAAGTTACCATCTTGCAGTTTTAGGCCAGTTTTCTTCCTAAGTTTTGTGACTTCTTACCCTTAGGTTCGTCTTGTGCCAGGATTTGTGCAGTCTGCCAGATTGTGCAGACTCTTTCTGCCTAGCGTCTCCCAGCCGCAAAACTCCCTGGCTCAGTTTATTGGGACTCCTCTCCGGGACCAGGAAGTCCGATCGCCAAGGCAACCAGATCAACTTCCGGTCTGAAGACCGCTCCTGGTTGACGAGAGGCCTCATTTCCGGAACGTGGTCCGCGCAGGCGCCCTGCCATCCGGAGGGCGGTTCCCGGGCGCTGCACTGGCATGGTGGGAAGGCTTGCTCCGGGGACACGCTTGCTCGGGCTGGTCCCGGCTCGCTTGTCTGCCCTGGGGACTCTGGGACTCGAGGGCGGGGCCGGGCACCACCCTGCACGCCTGAGGCTCGGGTGCACGGAGCGCGGCAGGTAGAGAGCATCTTGGATCCGCCACGCTGGAGTTGGAGCTGGAGTTCCGTGCGGCCGGAGGGCAGCGGCTCCTCCCGGCCGGCCCCGGGGCAGAGAATGAGCCCGAAGCTGAGGCATCTCGGCGGAAAGGCCGTGCCCAGAACGTGCTGCGCTGGTTCACCACCGTGGTGCTGTGTGCCGCCTTCCTGGGGCTGGTGAGAGCTGAGGCTTGAAACCCTCTCTGGCCAAGGCTGGAGCAGGCATCCTGCAGGGGACGTGGTCTCCCCAGTGCCCTGCGCTGTGTGTGACCTTTGGGTGCATTGGTTAATTCCTTGGGTCTCAGTTTTGTCATCTGGAAAAAGTGGGCGTAACTAATCCTTGAGAGTTATTGTCAGACTGATTTAAATACGTTTTGCAACGTGAGCAAACCAAGTTTCCTGGGGCAACGGCAGATGTAGGAGGGGGAGGCCGGGCCTTTACCTGCCCCCTTTTGCATCCACCCACTGAAGCTCCAAACTGATCACAGAAAATCTTTGAGAGACTGCCTCTTCCTGGAGACCTGACCAAATCCTGCCAACCGCTTTATTTTGCAGATGGGAAAATAGGTCCTGAGAAGAAAGTGGCTTTTCTCGTTAAATGATAGCATCAGGGACATGTTTCTTACCCTGTTCACAGCCCTGTTTAAATCAAGCCCTCAGATCCTTAAATGATTTTCTTCATTCAAGTGCAAGAAGAGAAACACCTTGTAAAGACAACGTCTCACTCTGTAGCTCCGGCTGCCTGGCCTGGACACTCAATATGTAGACCCAGTTGGCCTCTAACTCACAGACACTGGCCTGCCTCTAGCTCCCTACACGATGATGGTGATGATGATTTGAGACAGAGTCTCACTATGTAGCCGTGGCTATCCTGGAACTCTCTGTGTAGATCAGGATGGCCTCGAATTCAGAGATCCACCCGCCTCTGCCTCCTGAGTGCTGGACTTGAAGCTCTGGACCACTGGCCTAGACTTGTTTTGACTTGAGTGTTATCAGGGCTTAAACCTTTGAAGAGAGTCACTTGGCATCCTAAAGTTTGAGTCTCAGTTGTTTCTTAAGACTATGTTAATGGGAAAGTAGGGAAGGAAAAAGCACTGCAGATAATAGAGACCCTCCGTGTGACCCAGGTCTTCCCGATGCTTTGAAGACATTTGATGAGAACCTGCATATGCTGCGGGCCAGTGTGTACCTGGTCTTCAGTCCTTGGTTGCGGCTGCTGCTTGGGCAAGGAATACCCCCTTGCTTTATAGCAGAGTAGTGCAACACAACCACTTATTTATTTATTCACGTACTGCATATTTACATATTTGCTGCATACTTACATACTTATTTATTTACAACTCGCTTTTGGGTCATGGTGTTTCATTGTAGCAATAGAAACCCTAACTAAGACACTGCCCCTTTTATGTGAATGATGGAGATCCAGACTCAGGGCCTGGTGTTTGTGCAGCAGGCCCTTCACTGACTGAGCCGCCTCCTCAGCCCCTAGTTTGTTACATAGTAACTATTAGTGCATTACAGTCTTTAAGGGTATTGTTCAATACTAAACAGTTGAAGCAGAAGGGAAAAAAAAACAAATAGTTTTGTAAGTTATGTGTGTTGTAATACACTAGCCGAACCAACATTTGGGAGACTGAGACAGGAAGATTATGAATTAGGGTCTCCAAAACAAAGCAAAAACTTTAAAAATATCAAGGGTTGTGAATAAAAACCCATTGGGGAGTGTGTAGATTCTGCTGCTAGTAATGTATGTGTTTCCTTAGGTTTGACTTAATGTAGTCCGAAGCCCCTTGTGGATTGTAATCTCCCACCTGTGCTTTTGTTACCATGGAAATGCTGCTTCTTGGGCAGTGTTCAGTGGTGAGTAAAGCTCTCTTCTTTTTTAACTGTAGGGACTGAGTGTTGCTATACTGGGACCCACCTTTCCAGATTTGGCAAGGAATGTGAACCGAAACATCAGCAGTCTGTCTTTCATTTTTGTGGGCCGTGCCTCGGGATATTTATGTGGCTCTATGATCGGAGGAGTTCTTTTTGGGTGTATAAATCATTTTTTACTTTTGGGTAAGTAAACACTGCTTTTTATTTGTTTTCTGTCAACAAATTTGCAACTCAGCTTTAAACATGGAAAATTGACAATACCTGAGATGGGAGTGTGCTGGCATCCACCCTGGCAGCTGGATCTGTGTTCCTCTTCCCGCTTTGGCAGCTGGAGAGAGTCTGTATTGATCCCCCTGGAAACTTGATTGGCCCTTGGGAGTGAATGTTGGCAACCCTGAGCAATGCTGACCTTTCCTGTAATTTAGGTTCCACTCCAGGCTCATACATTGGTTGACTGTGGTGATATTTTGTTTGTACTCTAGCAAATAAAATTTGCCTGAAGATCAGAGGACAGAGCCAGCCACTAGATTAAATATAGAGGCCAGGCAGGCAGTGGTGGCACACACCTTTAGTCCTAGCACTTGGGAGGCAGAGATTCTTCTGGGTCTCTGTGAGTTCAAAGCCACCCTGGACTACTTGAGATTGATTCAGTTTAAAAGAGAAAGAGAACCAGGCAGTGGTGGCACACACTTTTAATCTCAGTACTTGGGAGTCACACGCCTTTAATCCCAGCACTAGAAAGGTTGAGACAGGAAGTGATATGGCTGGGCAGAGAAAGGAATATAAGGCAGGAGGAGACAGGAGTGTGGGACCCTTTCAGCTGAGAACTCAGAGGCATTCAGTCTGAGGATTCATGGAGACAGAATCTCGCTCCCTTTCAGCCTGAGGATTCGGCAGTGGTGAGAAGTTTCTCTAGTGGCTTGTTCCTTTGTCTCTCTGATCTTTCAGCCTTTACCCCAATATCTGGTCCTGGGGTTTTATTATAAGACCAATTAGGATTCGTGTAACAGTTGACCATGAAGCTCTGCTTATCTGGGGGTAAGGCAGAGCTTCTGGGACCATGGGGGTCAGAATGAATCCTGGAACCTGGCCAGGCTCTGTGGACCTGGGGTTGAAGATGAAGGGACCCGAGACAGTGGGAAAATGATACAGACCATACTTCAGTCCTGCTGCCCATGTCAGAGTTGAGCACGGGCTGATCCTCTCAGATCCTGACCCTGGAAAAGAGGGCAGAGCTGTTACCATGCCTTTTTAAATACATTGGCATGATTAAAGACAATTCGATTGATGCATTAAAACTCCTATGGAAGCAAGAATACTTCATTGCTGATGGATGAATAAATCTTTTTTCCTAAAGTAGAGCTGTTTTAGCTGACTTTTTAATGTTTCTTTTCAGGGGTGTCACTTTCTGCTACCACAGTTGGTCTTTATCTTACTCCATTCTGCAGGACAGCAGTCTTACTAGTTGTCATGATGTCTGTCTTTGGTATTTCAATGGGCGTTCTGGATACAGGTCAGTGAATCCTGTGTTGTTCTTGGCACTGTTCCAACACTACTGCTAGGAAAAGGAAAGCAGGTGAGATTATACTATCATTTGGAAGTCAGGTGGGGCCACAGCACCTAGTCAGAGTCACTCTCCTAGCAGCTACATCAGAACATCCACTTTTGAGCATTTGCCTATGAAATAAACAAAGTATGTTTCTCTGTGAGCAAGAGGTGATTTAGAATATCCTAACATGGAACAATGCCCTTTCCATGGGTAGGTGTGGTACAGAGGAACAGGCTTTCCTTTTAGGATAGCATCTGGTCATTTTACTATAAGAAGCCATGGGAGAGGAGAGAGATGGCTCAGTGGTTAAGAGTACTGACTGATGTTCCAGAGAACCTGGGTTCAATTCCCAGGCTGTCCAGTGTCTGATCACACCAGGGTTAAAAAAAAAAAAAAAGAGGCCATGATGATTTGGGAGGTCAAAACAAGTATAGAGCTGCTGTATGGCTTCAGAGGAACAGATGCAGCTGAGTTGTGAGCTCAGCAAAGCCTGTGCTGCTTGCTTCCTATTTTTCTTTTCTGTCATTTTCTGGAAAGTTACTGTTCGCCACCAGCAGACCCTCTTTGTAGAGTAAGTGACGTTTGCTTACCTCCAACTCCAGTACTCCATCTCTTTCTTTCCTGCTCTCGTGTTGTTGGATAGATTATGGAAATATTTTATACATTAGGCTCTGTTTGGTTGTAAAACTACAGAGTGGTGTTGTTGGTTGTTTTTTCTCTTTGCGGGGGGACCCACCACCCAGCTCCCAAATAAAACACATGGAGGCTTATTCTTTTTTTTCTTTTTCTTTTTTTTTTTTTTTGGAGCTGAGGATCAAACCCAGGGCCTTGCGCTTGCTAGGCAAGCGCTCTACCACTGAGCTAAATCCCCAACACTTGGAGGCTTATTCTTAAGTATCGGTGTCCAGCCTTAGCTTGGCTTGTTTCTTGCCAGCTTTTCTTAACTTATATTATCTCATCTACCTTTTGCCTCTGGGCTTTTACCTTTCTCTTACTTCTGTAAATCTTTCATTCTTACTCCATGGCTGGCTTTGTGGCTGTGTGGTTGGGTGGCCCCTAGCATCTTCCTCTCCTTGTTCTCTTGCTCTTTCTTCCTCACCTCCCAGATTTCTCCTTCTGTTTATTCTCTCTGCCTGCCAGCCCTGCCTGTCCTTTCTCCTGTCTTGCTATTGGCAGTTCAGCTCTTTATTAGACATATCAAGTGTTTTAGACAGGCAAAGTAACACAGCTTCACAGAGTTAAACAAATGCAACATAAAAGAATGCAACACGTCTTTGCATCATTGAACAAATGTTCTAGAGCATAAACAAAAGAAACACACCTTAAAATAACATTTCATAACATTTCCCCCTTTTTGTCTAAATAAGAAAAGTTTTCATTTTAACATAATAAAACTATACACAACAAAAACAGTTATCAAGTAAGAATTACATTTAAAATATTCAGTCCATTTGTAGTTAGCATATTCAGAGAAAATAATGCATTATCTATCCTATCTTAGTGAATCTAAAGTTTTACATCTAACTCACTTTCTATCATAACTAAGAAAAACTGCAATTGTAACTATCTAGTGTTCAACTCCATCAAAGACCCAGAAGGATGTAATATTATCTAACAACAGAGACATTTGGCTGCCTGGATAGTCACCCAAAGTTCCTCTGGAATGTTGGGCATCCATCTTCAGCCTACAGGCCCAGAATGTTTAGCAAACTTTTCAGTGAAGCTGGAAATTTGAAGGACTGTCCTGCCTTGTATTGGCAAAGTTTGTCAGTCACTTTCCTCTGTGTCCTGCAGAATATTTGGCTGACTCTTCTGTGAAGCAGAATTTTGAAGGACTGACTTGCCTTGTTTTGGCAAAGTTCAATCAGTCTTTTTCCTGTGTCATGAATGTCCAGTCTGTACAGCACATTGTCAATAGTCAAAGGCAAAAGCAGTTTCTTTGCCCAATGGTTAACCTTGCCACAATGAAAGCAAAATCCATAAGGAGATTCTTCAATGTCCATCATCTCTGATGTAAATTGGTGCTGCCAG